GAGGATTTACAGGTTCGGGCCAAAATCTTCAACTCAGTGATGTACGCGTCCACCGATTCATTTGGGCCGCTATTGCGCAAAACGGAAAAATAGCTCTGGTAGGTCTCGTTGGTTTGACCTTCACGAAGTTCACTGAAATTTCCAGTGACGGTCTCCATATTAGTAGAAGCTTCGCCTTTGTCGTAGTGCAATGTCTCTAGTTAACGGCGCCACATCCCCGGCTGCAAGTCGCAACAGGGCCAAGCGATATGCCATCGGTTGTTTGTCCAAACGTACTAAGGTGCAGAAATCCTCCCACTTGCTCTTCCATAGACACCAATTACCCCACCAAGTTCCATCCGTCCATGTTCAGTAGGGCAGGTATCTGAATAGACGCTGGTGATCTAAACATCATCCGCGGGCTGCCGGTGCCGTTCGTCTTTGTCTTCCTTGACACCACGTTGCAAAACTCAGTCCTTCAGGGACAATCGTTTATTCAGCAAAGACAGCTGAGCGAAAATTGAAAGGCTTTTAGCTAAACCAAGCTCCTCGATATAAATTGCAGGTTCGAGTGCATATCTAACGACCCTTCTGAGTCGATAAGGTTCCTACTTTGCTTCAGTTAAACAAACGGTGAATCCCGCATATGAATATCAACCGAGCCGAGTCCAATAATCGAATCCGTTACGTCCACCTCCCATTGGCTGTTTGGCTCGCTCGGTTGGTCTGTCTGCTCACTGTGATCTGATACTACCATCACAACGACATTATGGCCGTTCGAATGTTTGCTTATCAACTAAGGCCGCGCAGTTAGGTTAAATGTATCATAGTTACCGCCGTTTCCCCGGGCTAATGTGGTTTTCTATTTTGGCTCTTATTACCAATCTGGTTCCCATTCCATCCTTTCAGAGCCAGTGCCGCAATTCGGATACACGAGTGAGGTTTCTTTATTGTGGCCTAGATCACCTTCGAGTTTCCTTTGTAGATGATGGATGAATCTGTCTTAATAACTCCCAAAATGGATAAATTCAGACAGATTCGTTTCTTCGAATGTGCGTGATGACGAATAATGACCGTTAGCAGCTCGCAACATTGCAATCAGATAGGTTACATACCTATAACATTGAATAGGTATGAATAGCCGCGTAGAACTCGGGAGCATTTTAATGTCTGCTTGAAACTCTACCCTAGGCCAGCGAGGGGCGACGGGTAACGCTGGTTAGAATAAATTTGCAATTCAGGTCTTTTCATATCATATAACATTAAAGCAAGTACAGCAAAGGTGTCATAGTAGTTATGCCAAAAAGCTAAGCTTTGCTTTGATCCAGTATAGCACCCCACCTTAACTTGGACACATTTATTGAGCTACGCTGCAGAATTGAAATTTCGCAACTTTTCACATAAACACTAGCTACAGTGTAGCGGGAAAGACGCAGGAAGGGGGTCAGAGTGTGTATTGCCACAAAAATATGCAAACTCTTAATGATATGGACTGTGCTTCCTTCCCATGACGCACCGTGGATGAGGATGTGTGAGACACACCATTCCATGTGCCTACGAGCTAAAGCCTGGTGGCAATCCCTCCAGGTTTTTATCCCGTACCTCCGCTTTGCTACATTCGCTTCCACTTTTGCTATGGGGAAACGCGCTACATATAGGTTACTCGATAATTATTTCGCTAAAATCCTCACAGATTTGAATCACAGTGATGATGCTATACACCCTACAAGAATGTCTACCATGCAGTGTTCACATTACGTTGTTTGACCAAATGGTGACACGCAGTGTTTTGATGGAGCAAGTTTTCGTACGCTGAAAGTGAGGGTTGCGCATAATTCACGAACTAAATTCCACCGCAGAGTTCATCCTTATTTCAATTTCTTAGGTGGTAGGTAATGGAGATTCTTAGGATTTTTTGATTTAATACCCTAGATGAAAAATGGCGTTCAAATTTTAACTAGGATAACATGTCTGATTTGGATGATTAAAGAAGGATATTCATCTAGTCACCATGAAGCTTGTAAATTAAAAATGATAATTATAAACTGGTTCATATAAAGATAACTCAACCTCCATCACAAGTAATTGAAATGAAAAATAATTGCTCCAGCTACTCTGAATTCTCGATAATATGGGTTTATATATGACACGACGGTAAGCTTACTGCGGATAACAGAACAAGGATGACTTCAAAGTCGCATACGCATTATCTCACCGTTTCACGCAAAGCTACTGCAAGCAGCTTCTATCAATTGCTGAGGCTGTATACGTCCACCATTTGAAGGCGGGGTTAGGTGCGCAAAAGCGATACATATGTCCGTTACTACCTCATTGGCAAAGGGACTAGGTTACCTCAGCACTTCATGGCCATCTGAGCTTCCAGCTTATACATTTCTTTCTCCATTTTTTGCGATCAATAACCCAACCCTGAGCTATCGATTGACTTTTCGAACAACCCAGAAATTACTTTTTTGCCCAATATGACACTAACAGCAATTACATTGTACCAAGTAAACGTTTGGGTCCGATGAGCTTTTACTGGGAGAAGATTCGTAGTCCAACACTCATTTAGTATTTAGTTAATAACTCGAATTTTCAAGAGTCAAACATTATCGATGTGAAAGCCTGAAGATCCGAATCACACGGGTGCCTATTGCAGACCATGTAAGCAAGCACGTTTCGATTCCTCAGTTACTCGATCTGCGACGTAATAAGCAGCCACTTCGATTACATAATCAAAATGCATAATGTATTTTTAGCACTGCGAGATACAGAGGAACTGTTTAGTCTGACCACTAAGGTATAACAGAAAATTGTTCGACAATTTCAAAGTTGTTCTCAAATAGAATTCGGGATATTCACTATTTCAAACGAAATTTTAAAGTGTATAATCGGATAGTAGAAATAGATATAAATATATTCAGTTTTGTACATTGAAATAATAAGGCTATCTGTAGAAGCGTCGCCTGGGACCCTGATTCCTTGTAGAATATTCCATAAAAAGTCCTAATCCGCATGGGCGTGCCAAATTTGGTTGAGCGCCGATGTTGCGAAAGAGCAAGGAAGCCAAAGCCATGTTAACTCATCTTTGCGGCTAATGTTGTGGGTATATGGAACAGGTACTGTTACCATTTAGCGCGTTCTAACCTCCAGCTGATTTGAAGGCGGCACGTTTTTTGCACCGGTAGTTCTGCGGCTGTTTGCGATGGGTGGAGCTTGTTAATTAGCTTGGGAGCCTCAGGCCAACACTCCAAGAAATAATCCCAGTTGTAGCCAAAAGAAGAAAGTGATGGAACAATTCGACAGTGTGTAAAATGTCTGTAGTCCGGCCGCGGCTTGATTCAGTTTGTACAATCAATCGCAGAGGACTAGTGCGCGTTCGAAGTAGTTGCAATCACGGTAGATCCTAGAAAATTTTCGGGTTGTTCTATCTGGTGACTCCACTCGAATGATAACGAATTTAATAGCAAAGTGGATTTTGCGGAGCATGGGAAACTATGGCCTTGAGTCTGAGTTGTGGCTTCCCAAAAAGCATAGAAGATGGTTCGTAGTGCCGAACAAGTGCAAAACCCAAAATAACTTCCAGCAGGAATTCCTCGTCTTCAAACAAAATATGTTCTTGGAGATGTATGTGTGTTGGACCCCAACGCTGGGGTGTCAGTGTTGGGAGCAGCAACACCCAAACAGTTCCATTGCGGATAAGGTCAAGGTGATCCGAATGACCGAGGTCTAGTTCAAAGTAAACGAAGGTCTGAATAGAGATTGCATGTCCTAATCCAGCCGCATGTTGGGTACTGCAAATCCAATTTTGAATTGCATACCACCGTGTAAACGTAGCTCACGATTCTTAGAAACATAGTGATCAAGATCTCAGCCGTGAACCACTATGTGTGGGGTTCCACCCCAGCTCAGGCTATCTCTATCTGAGGAGTTCAAATGAGAACGAGGTGTCTGGGTTTGGAGGAGCAGCATCGAACACTTACATTCCGAATACGGTCATCGTGATTGGAATGACGGAGACTTACTTCAAAATAAACCGAGGTCATAATAAGGATTATCTTTGTAATCATACCACACGGTGGATAACTAAACTAAAACTTTGAAAACGCGTACTTTCCATTACCATTATTTGGGGAATCAATTGAGTCGGGCTGCAAAAGAAAACCACGTGTGGATGCTCACTGTTACACTGTAAACTGGACTAGAAGCGTACCCAACTAGCACAATAATGGAATTCAATGAACTTGGTTACTCTCAGTAGCAGCCAACGGAAGTGAATTACCACAGCATAAGTCTGCGTGCGTTAAATGCTATAAATGTGTGACAGACACAAATCGGTCTCGGAAATAATCAAAACAGTAACAAAAGAACAGTCTGCGAATGCATCTGAGTTAAAAACTCGCACTGCGATATCACATTTACGTTCGCTGAGTTAATATCCTTATCCAATTCGGTAGATATAGTGACCATGAGAGTATATGAATGAGATAGCACCGTACAAATTATCCCAGAATTTAGGATGCACTACACACATTAATTTCGGATTTGGCATTCACGTCATGCTACAACGCGAACTCGTAATGTTAGCCTCGATTCCATATTTTTATTTGAGACAACAGCTGCACGTTTAAAGGCATGATGTTTACAACAATACATTGTATTCTACCGTAATAAATATATCTCTGTTACTGAAACGGGACCATTTCTCCGACAAATTTAAAAGGAGGGCAGCTATCATTGATTTTCAGATGCAGGTGTATTACCCGTTAAGTTTCCTTTTTTTTCATTCGGGAATAAGATCGAAAATTATGCGAGAAGGTCCAGTTACATCAATAGTACTATTATGTTTTCGACATTAAAGCGTCTGCGTTCATCAATGTTTCACGAGCCATCCGATGCAAACTGGGCAGAGAATCAGTTCACGTTTTCATCCATTTGAGTTATAAGGTGCAATTAGCGCAGCCATTCGGCCTGCGCGTATTCATCGCCTTATTTTGAAAGATAAAGGTGCTCCAAATAAGATGGGTTTACTTCAAAACGGTTCCCAAAACGATGCTGACAATCAACTCATGGCTAAGGTGAAACTCATTTTGTACCCTGTTAAATGTTTGTAGGTGGTGGAAACTTTTTGAATGCAGCTTAGATAGTTCTCTTTGTACTAAATGCATCCAGCGTGAATAGTCCTCTGTGTGACTGGCTTAGCGCGGTAGGTTACTTATTAAAGAAATATATTTTGGCTTAAAGTACCTCCAAATACCGTCACTGGAAGATGGCAACGGTGCGGAACCAGAGCTGCAATTTTGTAGTGCATATATGCAGTCGCAATAAGCAACACCAAGTTAGTGACTGCAAGCCTTCCGTCTATTTCCAGCACTGTAGCTTACAAAAATTGAGATCCGACGTTGCATCCTCTAGATTTGTGTAAGTGGACGTTGACAATATTTCGTCAGAAGGCAACAGGTCAGGACATTTCAGGTATCGTATACAAATTTTACAATATTTACTTGTTCCGCAAGATAAATGTCGTTGACTGCCGCTAATGTAACTACTGACCAAATTTACCACGACTAATTGGGCGCATCGAGCCACCGAATGCGATTGTTGTGCACCAAGGGAGAAAACGTGCTTAAGGAAAGTGTTAGTGACCCTAGTCTTAAGAGCAAGTCATGCCCCATCAGCGTTTGTTTTACCCAAGAAATGATTGAATCCGTGTGAATCTTACCTAGGACTACACAAGTATCATGATGTTGTAAATGGAATCAGCGCAGTGAAGTAACAGGTTCATTTTGCTGCCATGTGTTATACAAAATTCCACTGTCTGTTATTCACATAGCCTTTGGATTGGAGCTGTAGAACGTAGCAGCATTTGCGCAGCAACCTTTGTGTCGTTATGTTACGGGTACGGCGATCAATAACAATCCTTACGTAGTCCATGCTCCGTCAACGACTGGTGACCTCTGACAGACGGTTACTGATGTAGCGGTGTCAGGCACTTATTTTGCTTGTCTGCAGTTGAGCTCTATTCTAGTAAAATGACAACATTCACCTATCTTGTGAAACATTCCAGCCACGAAGATAGAAGTAACCTTACTCGAACTCTGGGGGTTTGGGTTGTTCACTGAAGCCTCTACCAATAGGCCACCTAGTCACAATGGGCTCGGTGACCGAATTCCCCATGTATATTTCGAATTGAATCGGGGCCCCAATTGAGATTGCATGGCACAATCTATTCACATGACGAGCATTACAAAACCATCGGAATTTAACCCAGACAATTGCTGCCTTTGCAACCGCTTAGTGTAGTTGCTTGTGTTTTTGCTCCCTTACTACGGGGGGAAACACGGATCATCAGGAATCCGAAATATAAATCCTTGATTTTCTACCCATTGCGTGTCTGGTTGTTTCAATAATGTTGTTAGAACTTAATGTAACTGGTTT